AGTGCAACCTACTGAATAGGAAAAGATATTTGCAAATGATATATCTGACAAGGAGTTTACATCCAAAAAAATATAAAAAGTTCATACAACTGAACATCAAAAAAACAAACAATCCAGTTAAAAAAATGGGGAGAAGAACTGAATAGACATTTCTCCAAATAAGGCATACAAATGGCTAACAGACACATGAAAAGATGCTCAACATTACTAACCATCAGGGAAATGCAAATCAAAACCACAATGAGATATCACCTCACACCTGTCAGAATGGCTATTATCAAAGAAAATAAATAACAAATTTAACGAGGTTATGGAGAAAAGAGAACCCTTGTGCACCTTGGTGAGATTGTAAGTTAGTGAACCACTGTGGAAAACAGTATGGAAATTCCTCAAAAAATTAAAAATAGAACTACCCTATGACTCTATTTTTCCACTTCTGGATACTTATCTGAAGAAAACAAAAAACAACAATTCAAAAAGATATATGCACTTCTATGTTCACTGAGTATTGTTTACAGTAGCCAAGATATGGAAACAGCCTAAGTATCCATCAATAGATAAATGGATAGAGAAGATATGTTACATATATACAATGGAATATTAGCCATAAAAAAGAATAAAATCTTGCCATTTGCAACAACATAGATGGACCTAAAGAGTATCACGTTAAGTGAAATAAGTCTAACAAAGACAAATATCATGTGATATCAGTTATATGTAGAATCTAAAAACCAAACCAACCAACCAAACAAACAAAAAACAAAACAGAAGCTAACTCATAAATATAGAGAACAAGTTGATGGTTTCTAGAGGGGAAAGGGATGGGAGGAGGTGTGGAAAGGGAGAAGTAGATTAAGAAGTACAAACTCACAGTTATAAAATAAGTCATGGAGATGTAATGTACAGCATAGGAAATCAAGCAATAACATAATTATGTGCGGTGACAGATGGTTACTAGACAATGTGGTTATCATTTCAGGTATATAAATGTTGAATCACTATGTTATATACTTGAAATTAATATAATGCATGTCAGTTATAATTAAAAGTAAATTAATTTTTTTAAAAAACATAAAAACATAAATATCACTAACCAGAAAGGAAAAAAGTAAATTAGACTCCATTAAATCTATAAACTTATCTTCCTCAAAAGACACCATTAATAGACTGAAAATATAAATCACAAGGAAAAGATTTTTATATCATATGAAGACAGTAAAAGACATATCAGGATATAAATAATTATGACAAATATATAAAAAGAACCAGCTCAATAGAAAAAAATTGGCCAAGAAATTTAACAAAAGAAATAACCAAATGGCCATAAGCATATGGAAAAGTGCTCATCAGTCATCAGAGTAAATTTAAATTGCAATGAAATAACGTTGCACATACCTGTTATAGGTAAAATTTTTAAAAATTGACAGTAACACTTGTTTTGGATGATGTAGAGCAACTAGAGCTCTTATAAAGTGTTAACAGAAGAGCAAATTAATTACACCCTCTTTGGAATACTCCTAAGCAGCATCTACTAACTCTCTGACCCATAAATTCCACTCCTAGGTATGTACCTAACAAAAATGTCTACATATGTGCTCCAAAATAGAGGTATGAGAATTTTCAGAGCCACATTACTTGTAATAGTGCCTAAATAGAAACAACCCTAAATGTTTAACAACACTAGAATGGATAAATATGCTGTGGTGTCTTCATGCAATGGAATTCTAAACAGCAATATATATTTTTTTGATCTATTGTTCATACAATAATGTAAATAAGTCTGACATTAGGACATGTGTAGCAATAATACATATTATAGACCAAAAGAAACTAAACTCAAGGCATTCTGTATGGTTCCCTTGATATACATTTCAAAAATGATCAAACTAACACAGTGTTAAAAGACAAGATAGTGGCTACCATTGGGAGAGAGATGGAATAAGTGATTGGGAAGAATGAAAAGATTTGCGGGGGGTGGTGATGTTGATCTGAATGGTGATTATCCATGTGTTCACTATGTGACATTTTGTTGCAATATAAACTTATGATTTGTGCTGTATATGTGTTATAATTAAATAAGAAGTTTACTTTAAAATATCAAGAAGTTACAGCACTGAAAATGTCAGAGTAGCATTTGGTCCCTCCACCAAAGAAATGATTAAGCTAGCAAAATCAGAATCAATTTTTTCAGAACTTTAGGATCTAATAGAAAACCTGTAATAACCAGGGGAATGCTTAACAAAGAAACAAATTGCTATAAAATAAATAAGTCATGAGATGTAATGTACAGCATGGTGACTATAGTTAATAATATTGTGTTGCATATTTGAAAGTTGCTAAAAGAGTAAATCTTGAAAGCTCTCATCATATGAAAAAAATTCTGTAACTAAATATAGTGATGGATGTTAACTAGACTTATTGTGGTGATCATTTCCAGTCTATACAAATATCAATTATGTTGTGCACCTGAAATGAATATAATGTTGTATACCAATTATACCTCAATTTTTTAAAAAGAAGAACACACATGTAGATACAAGTTATTAGTAATGTTAGTTCTTTAGTTGGGTGCTTGAGTCATAGAATTTCAATATAATTATACTTTTTATATTAAATCTACATTATATATGCTATGCTTTGCATACCAAATATTGCATGATAAAAGATAGAATTAAAGGTTGTTAGCATGTATAGAGTCTCAGACAATCATCCTGCAGAATTTTTCAATAATAAAGATTTTCTGGGTTATATCTGTAAATAAATAATTAAAGTACATAAACATGCAAAGCTTTCATAGCAGCTTTATTTATAATAGGCAGAAACTGAAAACAACCCAACTGTCCATCAACTGGTAAATGGATAAACAAAATGGGGTGTATCCATGCAACAGAATACTATTCAGCGATAAAAAGGAACTCATTACTGATACATGCAAAAACAGGGATTTTCCTCAAAAATGTGCTAAATGAGAGATACAAAAAAGTAAATACTGTGTGGATTCCACTTATATGAAAATTTTATGGGAAGAAAAATCTATACAGGCAGAAAGTAGTCAGCGGATATCTACTGGAGATGGGAAAGATGATTGCATATTAGCATGAAGTAACTTTTTGGGTGATGGAAATGTTCTAAAACAATGGTGTCAGTGGAATAACTGTATAAATTTACTAAAATTTATCAAACTGTACATTTATAATGGGTGAATTTTATGGTATATAAGTTATATCTCAATAAAACTGTTAGCAAAATAAAACCTCTCTATCAGTAACTACTAATCTCTCAAAAAAATTCGTGTGATCATATAAATGTGTCTTCTATTGAACTCTCTACTATGTTTCATTGATATAAGGGTCTATTTTTTTCACCAATATCAATAACTTTGTACTAGATTTAGAATGAGACTTGGGTAGTTTGAAACCTCTAACTTTTATTTTTCAAAATTGCTTTAGATATTCTAGTTCTTTTACCTTTCCACATAAATTTTAGGATTAGTTTGTTGATTTCTGTAAAAAAAATTCTGGCATATTTCAATTGAGGTTACATTTAATCTATACATTATTTAGAGAGAACTGACACCTAGTTGATCTTACAATTTAAGAATATACTATATCTTTTCATTTATTTATGCCTTTAATTTTTTTGATTAGTGCTAATCTTGTAATTTTCAGCATACAGATATAGCACAAATTGTATTAGTTTATATGTAAGCATTTCATGTTGGTTTTATTGGTGCTATTATAAATGCTACTGTTTTGTAATTTTAATTTCCAAAGATTGCTGTTATATAGAAATATAATTGATTTTTGTATATTAACCTTGTATTTTATAATCATACTAAACTCATATGAGTTCTTGTATTGTTTTTAGATTCCTTGGGATTGTTATATATAGTTGATTATGTGATCTGCAAATACAGATAATTTTATTTCTTCCTTTTCATCATTATTCCTTTTATTTCTCTTTTTCTCTTTGTTGTGGTGGTTAGGAACTCCAATGTGATGTTGAATAAGAATGGTGGGAGTGAACATTTTTTGCTTTGTTCTTGATCTTAGGGGGAAGATATTCCATCTCTACCACCATTATGTATGTTAGACAACATCTCTAGATTGTTCCTAGATTCTCTTTATCAGGTTGAAGAAGTTTCCTCTGCTCCTAGTTTACTGAGCTTTTTTTTCCCATGAATGGGTGGTAAATTTTGTCAAATGCTTTTTCTGTATTTATTGAGGTGATCATGTGGTTTTTCTTTTTTAATCTGTCAGTGTGATGAATTACAATATGGTGATTGATTATTTTTTTAATGTTTAACTGGACTTGCATTCCTGGGATAAACTCCACTTAGTCATGATGTATTGTCCTTTCTATTTATTTCTTGGTTTGATTCGCTAGTGTTTTCTTGACAAGTTTTACACCCATGCTTGAGAGGTATTGAGTTGTATTTTTCTTGTAATGCTTTTTCCTGGTTTTGGTGTCAAGATAAAGCTGATCTCATAAAATGTGCTGGGAAGTATTTTATCATATTTTACTTTCCAGATGAGTACTCATAGAATTGCCATTATGTTATTATCATTTAATGATATAAATCTAGATAGGTTTAAGGATTTGCTTTTCATATTTTAAAACTTAGCTCTAATTTTACCATGATATTCACTTCAAAATTATTTTAACATAATCTAAATGAACTCAGGTATCTTATTTATTGAATACAAACAATTTTATATAAAAAATATTGTTTATTTTCCACAGGACAATTCATTACTATTATATATAAAATCTCTGTACAGTAAAATCTAAGTAATTATTATTCTTATTAAAATTTAGATTTTAATGTATTGTTTCAAAAATAAAACATTTTTTTGAGCTTAGAAATAGTTTAGCAAATACTAGTTTTCATTGGAATAGTGTTTTTGAATATAATTTTAACAGTAACTAAAGTTTTATTATTTTAGAATGATTATTTTTATTTACTATACTTTAATTAATGCTAATTATTTCTCATCTAGTCATGCAGATGGATCAATAAAATTTTGGGATGCTTCTGCAAGTAAGTTTTAAGTTTCTCCTATAACAAAACAATTAGTTAATATTTACTAATAGCCATTCACCACTTTTTAATTTGGAGAATTAAAATTTCAGGTACATTTTTAGCATATATATATGGTTGTGTTACAAAAATCCATTTCCTATATTATTAGATCAATTTATAATATCTCTGTTGTACTTTTATAATATAAACAGACAAGACCGAAGTCACTCTTTATCACTAACCATTATATTTACAAGAGACAAGGCATGTTGGAAAAAGGATCAAACTTTGTCAAATTAACCCTGTTCAGGTAATTTCCTTTACTTCCTAGCTCTGTTATCTTGGAAAAATGCTTTTAACTCACTAGTCTTCACTTCTCTTTACCATTTGTCTACCGAGTTTTAAGAGAATCAAAAGAAGTGATTTAATAATGTAAAATTTCTTTTTAAATTCTTGAGAATTACATAATTTGAAAGAGATATAAGATACTTTGATCAACATTGAAGGACATACAAAGGAAGATATGTCTTTATTATACCCATACACACACTTCAGAAAATTTATAGTCACTAAAACAGATAAAAGAATGCACATATGTAACTATAGGGAAAATGATATAAGAACTCTAAATATAGTACAATTCAAATTCTATTTGTTATCAGAAATGGGAGATGTATTTGGACCAGGTATATCCAGGAAGGGTGGTTTGATGGGGTAACATTCAATGTGAGTTTTGGAAGATAGTTAAGATTTTGACAAGAATAGGAGAATAAGAATTAAGCAATAACTCTAAGTTTTAGAGAATGAGTAACCAGCAAGATATAGGTAACTCTTTTGGAAATAAGGAATATAAGCGAGTTTTGGAGTTTTGGATTTTGTAGTAACACCAAGAAATCTGAGTAAAAATGTCTAAGAGATAAGAAGAATAGTCAGGAATGGAAACTAATGAAGAAGCAGCATGAAAGTGATACTCGAAGCTATATAAGTGAACGGCTTCTGAGGAAGACAGAAAAGTCAAAGGAAAAAGGTTAAATATTGATGATAACCTTAACCTGCAAGCTGGAGTCCTCCAGCAGTGGAGCAAATCATCAGCAAAAGAAAATGATTAAAAGATTTAAAGCTATGAATTCCGAGGCCCTTGTGTGACCTAACACAATAAGCAATTGCACAGGGGGAATTTCCAAAGGACAACAGATTTTCTTTTGGTGAACCTTTTCGTGTAAATCTGAGTTTGTTCCAGGAACAAAATTAATCACATAGTAATGTCATTGCTCCTTTCCCATCACCTCAAAGTCACTCCTTAGCTTATAAAATGTGAAAAGACAATTTAACACTCTAGTGATACAATACATTCCACCCTTAAACATACATGATAATACTTTAAGAAGTTAATTTTTAAGTAAAATATTATTTTGCCATATTCAGAACATATATTGCAAAGGTTTGCAGCATGTTTAATATTTTTTACTGTAATTATAAGAACATATCTCCAATTTAATGAATGTCATTGAAGAAATGTCACCTTAGTTTGTCAATTTTGTGGAAACTGTCCAGTATAGGAAGTGAGGTTATGCTGCATTTGAATAATTCAATTTACGTTATTAGTTTTCAACTTCTGAGTAATAAAATTACCACAATTTATCAACTTAAAACAATACCCATTAATTTTCTTAGCTTGTGTGTGTCAGAAATCTGGGTATAATTTAGCTGGGATTTTTGCTCAGGGGCTCCCAAGGCTGCAGTCAAGGTGTTAGGCTAGGGTTGCAGTTTCAGCTGAGGTTCAGGGTCAGTCATCTTCCAAGCTCATGTGGTAGTTGGCAGAATTCATTTTCTTGCAGCTTTAGAACTCATGGTTACTTGTTTCTTCTAAGCCAGCAAGGAAGTATCTCTGTAACCTCAGGGAGTCTCTCTTTTAAAGGGCTCAGCTGATTATGTCAGCCTCATTAAGTATAATCTCTTTTGATTAACTCAAAGTCAACTAATTAGGGGCCTTAATTATGTCTGCAATATCCTTTACCATTGCCATGTCACATAAAATAATCATGAGAGTCATACTCTTTCTGACTTAGAAGCAAGGATATAGCACCTAATATAATACCTTTCCTATTTTTAAAAAAAGTATTTTAGTTTGACATCATTTCAGGCTTAATGAAAAATTGCAAAAAAAAAATACTATGAAGTGTTGTATAGCCTTCAACCCAATTCTCAAATGTCAATGTATATATTTCTCCTATGCTTTCACACGTGTGAGTGCTCTCTCTCCTTTCCTTACTTTCTCCCCTCTGTATATTTACACACACACATATATATACACACAAATATGTACATATATATAGAATTTCAGAACCACTTGAGAGAAAATTGAAGATATGATGTTTCTCTACCACTACATTCCGCTAAATACTTCCATGTGTATTTCCTATGAATATAGTCATTCTTTTACATAATCAAATTATAGTTTTAAAATCAGAATATTACTATTTATACAGTACTATTAACTAACCTCCAGCTCTTACCTGGTTTTTGCCAATTGTCTCAATAGCATCTAGAAAGTCTAGGATTATTTATTGCATTTAGTCATCATATCCTTTCAGTTTGTTTTTTTTTTTTAAATCTAGAATGGTTCCTGAGTCTTTATTTCATGAAAGTGACACTTGTGGGTAGTTTAGGCCAGTAATTTTGTAGAATCTCCTTCAATTTAGGTTCAACTGATGATTCTCTTGATTATGTTGATTATGCATTTTTGGTAGGAATGCCAAAATTTTTCTCAAGGATCCTTTATAGAATTAGAATTTTTTTTGTAAAGGAGTTATCAGGATCTAAAATAGAAAATGTATTCCCCCAAATAAATATTCCTAAAAACAATTCACAAGCCCAGAGTTTCTTAAAATTATAATTGACCCTTTCCTAACACTGAGCCATTTAGAAAAGATTTTTTCTAAAGTAATTACAGATTACTAGAGTCTCAATATTC